TATGGGGCTCGTTGCGGCATTTCGTCGTTAAAGATGGTTCGTCATTCTCGACCTTAATTTGCAGACACGAAGGAATTTATTCGTTTTTAGAAGATGCGCACACTTTCAAAGATTGTCAGCACGCTTTTATCAACACGCTAACACGTGGAGATGTATCTTCCCTTACCTGGTTCGAGTCACCTAACCAGTATTTCGATGTGATTGAGGGCAAGGTGCGTCCACAATAAGAAGCTTGGTCATTGGAGGGTAACTATCAACAAAGTGCATTTTAGAGAAGCACTCATGAGCTTTGCTCTGTGTACTATGCTCCGATCAACTTCCGTGACGTCATGCTGGCATACGGTCGTCTGCCTCCAGACGCCATCCCCGGCAACTTCGCAGATCGTGAATGTCTTCTTGGAATGGAATTCGCTGGAAAGCTGAAGGACGGCACACGTCTTATGGGCATCCTTCCCGCTCAGGTATGGGATCCACCGCCGAGCGTTGTGTATCATAGGCTTGTGTATCATAGGCCAATGCAATGCTTTTAGGCTCTGGCAACGACGGTCATCGTCGATCGTGACTACGCCTGGGAAGTGCCGGAGCAATGGACCTTGGCTGAAGCCTCCACCGTGCCTGTTGTGTACACGACTGCCTATTATGCCCTTGTGTGTCGTGGACGCATCAAGAAGGTACCTGAACATAGCACTAGTGATTGCAGCTAATTTACTAACTTTTACCTCCTTATAGGGTGAAAAAGTGCTAATCCATGGGGGAGCTGGAGGTGTGGGACAAGCTGCCATCGCGATTGCACTTGCAAAAGGTTGTGAGGTCTTTACAACAGTCGGCTCGCAGGACAAGCGTGCTTACCTGAAGAAGAAGTTCCCTCAGTTGCAAGAGCATCATTTTGCCAACTCGCGATCCGCTGATTTCGAGCTCCACATTCGCCAGTACACCAAGGTTAGTCAAAGCAATTAATCCATGTGATTAACATGAATCCTTCAAATACAGGGACGAGGTGTGAACATTGTCCTGAACTCGCTCGCGCATGAGATGTTACAAGCATCGTTACGGTGTTTGGCTCGGCATGGAAGATTCTTGGAAATTGGAAAAGTTGATCTGGCGCAGAACTCCTCGCTTGGAATGTCGAAACTACTCGATAATGTCTCCATTCATGGCATTCTCCTTGACTCGATCATGGATCCTACTGTTGGAGATATCGTATGTTGTTAGTATTGCTGATCGTAGAGTACGCTTCTTTTATTCACCTCTTGTGTTGCAGGAAGAATGGAAAGAAGTGGCTCGTTTACTAGAAGAGGGCATCAAGAACGGAGTCGTACAACCGCTGCCAGCTTCGCTGTTCCCATCTGACAAGGCAGAAGATGCTTTCAGGTTGGTTATTAGACTAAATGGATAACTGACTCTGTTCGTCCGTATTGCCATGATCTTACCAACTTTCAGATTTATGTCCGCTGGACGACATATCGGAAAAGTTGTAATGGAAATCCGAAAGGAAGAAGCAGATCGCTCTGCTCCGCCGTCGCCAATCTCAGTCCGTGCCATCTGCCGCACTCTCTGTCATCCTCAGCACGTCTACCTCATTACCGGCGGCCTTGGTGGCTTCGGACTTGAGCTTGCCCAATGGCTTATTAATCGCGGAGCAAGAAAACTTGTTCTTACCTCTCGAACTGGTATTCGTACTGGATATCAGGCACGATGTGTGCATTTCTGGCGAAGAACTGGCATATCCGTGTTGATCTCTACGCTGAACATTGCCAAGGTGGGTAGATCTACTAATGAGAGAAAAGTTGTGCGTGAATAGATAAGTTGAGGATGTAATTTCTGTAATGTTTTTGTTTTTTTAGCGGTCAGATGCAGATGAGCTGATACGGCAGTGCTTGACCATGGGTCGACTAGGAGGAGTTTTCCACCTTGCTATGGTCCTTCGTGATTGTCTGTTCGAAAACCAAAACGTCCAAAACTTCAAAGACGCGGCGGAAGCGAAGTACTACGGAACGATCAATCTTGATTACGCCACACGCGACCACTGTGACGAAGCCCTGCGATGGTTCGTCGTGTTCTCGTCCATCACCTCCGGTCGTGGAAATGCCGGCCAGACCAACTACGGCTGGTCAAACTCCACTATGGAGCGTATGATAGAGCAACGTCGAGAAGATGGCTACCCAGGAATCGCTATTCAGTGGGGAGCGATCGGAGATGTGGGAGTTATCCTGGAAAACATGGGAGACAACAATACTGTCGTCGGTGGCACCCTTCCACAGAGGTGAGTCACGCTGAATATTCTCAAAAAGTACAAAATTCCTTCGTCTCAGAATGCCGTCCTGCCTCGCATCGCTGGACATGTTCCTGTCGTGGAATCATCCTATCGTTTCTTCCTACATAAAGGCCGACATGGGACAAAAGAAAGCAGCGGGTGGTGGCAATCTTCTTCAGGTATTTGTCAAATGTATCAAATTAATCAATGCAAAGAGGTGTTCAGTCACAAGAACCAAAAAATATATTGCTCCTGTGCATTAGAATTTCTCTTCGATTTGCGGAGTAAGGAAAGTCCTTTAGCAGGGACGACAATTTGAGCCCTACTCCACTCCAAGAAACAGTCTTGTAGACATGCACATTGTAATGAACTTTGAAATTTGGATGTGACGACAACCCGTGTGCTCTCAACACTCCTGTCAAGCTACTGCATTAGTGAAAACATATTTTCCAGACTATCGCACACATCCTTGGCGTAAACGATGTCTCACAGCTGAATCCCGACGCGAATCTAGGAGATCTCGGACTCGACTCGCTGATGGGGGTTGAGATTAAGCAAGCGCTTGAGAGGGATTACGATATCGTACTGTCAATGAAGGACATCCGCACGCTTACCCTGAATAAATTGCAAACATTAGCTGAGAGCGGAGGACAGGGCGATACAGCTCTTCAGCCGACTGAACTCGATATGAAACTTGAAACTGAACGCGATGCCGAGCAAAATACTGTAGAAATGCTGGAGAAACAGATGAACCAATTGTTCAAGATGAGAGTAGATGTTAATGATCTCGATCCTCAGGATATAGTTGTGAAATGTAACAAGGTAAGCTCGAATGTTTTTATTTTTGGAGACGGCATGGATTGCGTGAATTACAGATCGAAGAAGGCCCTGTCACGTTCTTCGTGCATTCCATTGAGGGCATCGCTACTCCTCTGAAACGTGTCATGACCAAATGCAACTTCCCCGTTTATTGTTTCCAATCAACCAAAGATGTCCCACAAGATTCTATTGAAAGCGTTGCAGGATGCTATATTAGAGTAAGTAGTTAAAAATAGCCACAAAAAAGTCGCATACTGAACAATGGCTGTGTTTTTAGGAAATGAAGAAAATCCAACCAAAAGGCCCATACCGACTTGTAGGATACTCCTACGGAGCATGTATCGGATTCGAGATGGCCACTATGCTGCAAGAATCCGACGGCCCTTCGGCTGTAGAACGGCTAATCCTCCTCGACGGATCTCATTTGTACATGCAAACGTATAGGAATGTATACCGAATGGCTTTCGGAGTCACAGGAGACACTCTTGTGAACAACCCACTATTTGAGTCAGAAATCATGTGCGCTATGACTCTTCGGTTTGCGAACGTTGACTACAAGAAGTTCCGCGTTGAGCTATTGCAACAGCCTGGATTCAAAGCCCGGATACAGAAGGTTTCGTTTGATATCGTTCGCAAGCGCAACTAATCTGCCTGCGCAGCTTCGGAGAAGTACTTTTTGTAGGTCGTCGACACTGTGATGACGACTGGTTTGTTCAAGTCGCCGGAAACTATCGCCTTCGCGTGTGAAGCCATGCGGTCCAAGTTTTTGATGGCTGACAAGTGAGTGCCCTTTTGATCAAAGACTTCAGAGATTCGAGCAACTGCTTGC